TCTGTTTATCATTAGAAATAGTATATAACAACATGTCTCGTTTTAACTTGTGACACATGTGATCACTAAAAGGCGCATCGTCAAAGCTCACTTTTCTTGTAGTGGCATTCGGTAATAAATGTTTTTCATTAGTATAAAATTGAGTACAATAAATGCTAATAATTTACTAAGTAAAGAAATCTTATTTATCTTTATTATAGATATATAAGAGAGTACTTAAATTTACGTACTTCTTATTATGTAATTTTAAACCACGAGTATAGAAACTATGGTTGATAAATTTTTATAAGAAGTAAGAATTTTTTACTTTATAATTAACAAGAAATATGTGTTATTTTGATACAAAAAGATATTTCGTGTTAATGAAATAATCGTGAGGTCAATGAGAGATCAATAATAAAGAAGATTATCAAGGTTTTCTAGACAAGTAAACAAATGAAGATCAATAAGAATATGAAAGAAAAAAATGATCTATTGAGATCTAGTAAAAATAAATAATGAATTAAACATATAATATGCAAGCTCAACAAATGATTGTTTGAACACTTAAATAGAATCTTGTGGTGTGGTGGAATCCCAATGAAAGATACATAAGTCAAACAATTGATGAAAATATTTAAATTCTATTTTCCTTCTTTTTTTGCTCAACTAAAATAAGATGTTAATATTAAAAGTGTATGGAACATGACATATATAAGAGACATTACTAAATACATTTAGTAGAAAAAATTTATTGATTAATCACAATGAAACATGTTATAAATCACAAGAACAATAGATTAATTGTCAAAAAAAGTAAAATATTTTATGTAGAAGTAAAAATAGATAACAATAGTCAACAAAAACAATTAGAACAACATAACCAAATAACAATAGTCAATAAAAATAGAAATTGATAAAAAATATCTAACAAAAATATATAGCAATAACAAGCACATGATGTTAACGTTGAATTGTGGAAGCACGAAAATAGTCAAGCATATAGAAATAGCAATAGCCAATATCATTGGACCTTGTTGGAGATAAAAAAGAATTAGAGGGGCAATAAACAATAGCATATAATGAATCACCAATTATTATTTTTTTCTTCTCCAATGTAATTATTTGATATATTTTTTGGTCCTTATTATCTACTAAATTATTTTGCTTCTTATTATATGCTACAATTGTTTTGTTTCTTTAATTTATTAAATTATTTTAAACTACTATATATTTTAAAGGAAATTTTTGGTCCCCTGATGTTTTTGGGCCTTGGGCGTGTGCCCGTGCCGCCCTCCCACAGCGACGGCCCTGCTCAAGACTCTTATATGTGTTATGTCCAACCTTATCATTCTGTATTTGGCATCACTTTAGATCCACGTCAAGTATTGAAAGATTAATCGAATGACATATTCATGCTATAGACATAAATACCGACAATACAAAATTATGTTAATTTAAAAAATAATATTTTAACGAGTTATTTATGCATGTGATAATGTCACATGATGCAAAATATGCACAGACGTTGTTTCATAATCTACTTCTACAACTACTTGTTATAGTAAAATAAATTCCAAATATAATTTATGAATTAAAAAAAAATCCAATAAACTAAGATTTGTTAGGATTTTATATACGATAAAACTCTTTTGTATTATATATGCAATAACTCTATTATTTTTTAAACTTTATATTGGAAAATATAGAAGTTTTGGGGATGTTTTGTAGAATTTGAAAATGAAGGGGTTGTTTCAGAAAATTTAGAAACTGATAACATATTTAAAGATTTATTATTCATTGTTTAATTTGATGTGATGATATCAATCTCAGGGTCGTTTACCCAAATGCTTACCTGGTAAGCGTTTATCGTTAAAAGTCAATACTATAATTTATTTTATCAGGTAAGATTGTAGTACATCAAAACGTGTCTTATGCAAAAATTTACCTAGTAAACGCTTATCCGGGTAAGAGTCGTCATCATCACTTACTGGGTAAGACTCTCCATTCTTATCATAGCTCTTACCGGGTAAGATTCTTGCCCTTGCCATGTTCATCCGGTAAGGAAAATTGCCCAGTAAGTACTTATTAGGTAAGCGTTTAGTTAACGACCCCTTGATTGGTTTTGAGTTTGAAAAGAAGCATGAGGTTATATTTGCAAATATTACAATAAGATATTAAAATTGGAGGAAAGCATAGAAAAAAGAAAGGTGATGATGAGGCGAGATCAAGTTTCTACATTATTCTGTTATAACATTCTAAATAGCGTGAGATGTAACATGACGGCAAGGTCAAACTTCAAGCCTTGAAAGCCACAGCTATGTCGTTGCGTTTTTAAGACATGATTTATGGTAGCAAATCTCTATATCATATATAAAATTATATACACAAACATATGTTTTCTACAGTTACTCAATAAATTAATAATACTAAGCAATTTAAATTAAGTTATATGTCAAAAACTAGCAAAGAAGACATTAAAAAGATACATAAAATCAAATATCGTGTAACAAAAACCATGCATTACGTCGTGGCATGCCTCAGGCATAACGTGGCATGAGATACAAACCTTGAGTCACGACGCGCCATGACGGTTGTTGTGGCGAGCTTTTTCTAACATTGTTGTCATCAATCCAGGTAATGTGATAACCTTCGGTCTTTAGTTTGTCTCTGTAAGTTTAAATACTGAATTCAAGTCATGTTTAGTTTCTAGGTCGAATTGAGATCAAAAGGTTACCGCTGACATGAGTGTAGTGTTGGAATACGTATTGATCCTTAAGTCGTTTTGTACTTGTGATAACAGTAGAACTTGTGTTAAAATTCTATTTTACTGAAACTAGAATAACAATAAGATTTGGACCAGGTACTGAAATAAAGGTCCACTGGAGGAGTTTAGTAACCTAATTTGGAACAATCGTGTAATGAAAACAAAGGAACAAGTAGATCATTAACCATAACTTAAGAACTGTATTAACTCAATGCTTCAATTTAGAATGTTTAATAGCAGATACCATTCCGATGAATGTGTAGTTCATAGGTGCATGTTTAAGAACTCTGTAGACGATACCTGTTGACTTCCATTTCCAGATAGATATCGTATACTTAGATGATGAGTAGAAGAAATTATAGAATATAGTGAAATTATTACAGAAATTAGTTAAGTAAATAAAAATGTGGAAACTGATAACATTGTCCTAAACCATGGTACAAACGAGTACGATACGTTAAATTCTACTTCAACTGGCTCCATATCATACATAATACTAAATCTTAACCCAACCTTTAACTTGTGAGTTTGCTTTGGTCTAGTAGTCAAATGAGTGGTACGCGAAAAGGTTGATCGATCTTGTTGTGAAGAACCCTAATTCAATGGTGGATGGATTCCCGGTGATGATTTTTTTCGATCGCGGTGCCATCAAAATTTGAATTGAAAGATGAGAGAAAACTATGATTCTAAGAGAAGGATATTTATATCTGGTTGTGCATACAGGTTGTGTTGGGAAGGTCTGCCGCCTGTATGTTTTTTTGAAGTTGGAGCCTTAGGGGGGTTTGGAAGCCCGAGTCACTAGGATTTTAATTACTCCATCCGTTCTAAAATAAACGTTCACAATAAAACAGAATTTTAGAAATGTATAATTATTACACTTTTTAAGTATTATATGAACAAGAAAGTTTGTACTTGTCATGTAGTTGTATATTGTATAGAAAGGCAATAAAATTTCTTGGCATGTTTGTTACATACATGTGAACTTTGCAACCATTATTGTTATTTGTTATTGGTGATGAAAATAGTGAATTTCATTAAATGTTCAGATCTGATCCTATGTGTTTAAATACCGCATTCACAAATTCACTTTTCTTTTAAGTTTCAATAAGATTGTTATGCTCGTTTCATGGTGACTTCTCTGTTACGAATATCATTGCTCCTTATAAATTGTTACGGTAGGGCCCTAGTCCTTATGTGTGTGTGTATATATAGGAGGTTTACTTTGCAAAACACGTTATTTGTATAAACCGTACAAATTTTTGATAATTTTTCATTTTGTTCATTTTTTTTTTTTGTAATTATGAGATGTTGATTAATCATTTTTATTGTGAAGAGCTTCATTATATTAATTTTAGAGAAATACATGAAACAGTTTTATTAAAATTTCATAAGTACTATATAAAACAGTTTCATTGAAATTTCACAAATATTGTATGAAACAATTTTATAACCATATATAAAACGAGTTTATCAAAAAAAGTATTATATGAAACAAATTTCATAAGATCAAACAATTTCATGAAAAATTTCATAAGATTAAATAATGAAATCAACGGATGAAGGTGGTTTACATATAAGAGGGTTCATTCAAGGGAGAACTGATTAGTTTATAATAACTGTGAAATTCAATCTTAACTACAAATCAATGGATAAATTAGATAACTAATATTTTTGGTAATTTGACTTTAAATTATAATTAAATGACATTTTAGATATTTTAAAATTTTTATCTCTCCCCTCTCTCTCTTACGTCCGGCCTCCGACGAACACCATGTGATACACAAAAAATACACCAAGATACACAATGTGATACCCAAAACACACAAAGTAAACTTTGAGACTACTGTGATACCAATCGTAGTACCACCGTCACAAGTGGGTGTTTAATAGTCGATCATCGCAGACGGTATTTTGGTTGGACAAGATGATCGAAGGAGGTCACCGGAGTGGTGATGGACACGGGAGAAGACCACCAGATTTGGTCCCCGTGTGTCCGTGTGTTTATATATATATACATTTATTAAAATAATTAAACTAATTGAATTAAATTAAAATATTATACTAATTAAAATAAATTAAATAATCAACACAATTTACTAATTTATTATTTGTTTTATTTTAATAAATAACAAAAATTATCTAAAATAATTCGCTTCACAGTAACCATAAATTATATAGTTTTCCATTTGATTAGACACTCCTCTCTCTCTCTCTCTCTCTCTCTGTATTATCGATTTTAAAAACAATCATTTAAAAAGTTGACATATTTTATCATGTAATTAATAAATATTTTTGAAAGTTTTACAAAAAAAAGAAGAAGAAATTCAATGAACCATAATACAAATAGAACCGGTATTATCCGATAGTGGAACACTGGAACCCCATGGTAGCATTATATTACCTGTAGCAGAAAGTCAACACACAAGCTCCCGCCGGTGAAGTAGCAGCGGCGGCCGGAGGAGTTGCCGCCTATCCGAAATGGGCGAGATATGCATCGGCCAACATGTGTCCAAGTTGAACCTGAGACTCCGTCGTTAAATGGAGGTTATCTTCTTTCAGCTCCAATCCTTTGGCATCCACACACACCACATTTGGTAGATCAATTGCTTTTTGTGCTTCTCTTACTACCTCCATGTATTTCGCATCACCAGATGCAATCGCAACCTGATAACACCCTAATCAATTCACTGAACGAATCAGGGGGGGTTTAGATGTGAGATTAGTAATTCACCTGAATGATTGGCAGTGATGGTAGTCCTAGATCTGAACGAACATTGTGGATCAGAGTTTCCATATTAGTTTTATAAGATTCAGCAACGTTTTTAGACGATGTATCGCTCTCTCCTTGGTACCAAAGCATCGCTTTGATCTCTCCACCACTGCTCGCCGCTGATTTAGCCCTCCTCACCATATCCTCATACAGTTTTTCCCCTTTGCCCCATTCCTTGATGGCGGTTCCACCTACCGCACACGGCACGAGATCTATTACTCCATTGATGTAATCCTTCACGGCGTTAGCGAACGACATCCCAGGGCCAACACCGCAGATCTTCTTTGTGTCGATGTCGGCGTGGAGTGGCTCCTGGGCGGTTTCCCAGATTAGGTTAGCATTTAAGCGGTGGATTATGGAGGGATCGGGTTGGCAATCGCGTGGGACGATACCGTCCCAATGCTTGTTCTTAACACCGCCGCGACCAGCCATGTTGCTCTGACCGGATAAGATGAAGATCTGTTTTTTGGTGGTGGTGGTCGTCGGTTGGTCATCTTTCTGGGTTGAACTGGTTATTCCCATTGTTGCGACTTGCGGATCGCCAAATTCTGGATTTGTTTAACAGATATTATGAATCAAGATTTATGAAGGCCTTTGATAGTTTGTGGATTATGGGCTTGTATAAGATAGGCCCATATACACAATGGCCCATAGTTTGATCAACATATAAACAACAATTCAACCTTTAAAATATAAAATGAATATTAAATATTTATATATATATATATATATATATATATATATATATAGGTGGAGGTTCAAACGAGAACCCCTGTGATTTACGAGAATGCGAGAACAATCTAATAACCTCAAACTTTTTTAATTAATAAATTAACTTA